CAGAGATATATTTATATGTTTGTTCATAAAAACTGAAAAATAAGCTCAGAACACGCTGTAAAAAATATTCAATTACTTACCAAACAGGCCAGTTAAGTCAGGAGAACACTGATACCGGCCAAACCACAGATTCGGGGGATCGAGGTGCCCGCACTTATCGCCCCAGGTCTTCGTTGGGGCTGATGTCCCTGAAGGATATGGAAAAAAGAGCATTTATTATCTGCTGGACGGTTCGCGCAGGGGTCTAGCCAGGATCTCAAGAAGTTGCCGCTGTACCAGGAGCCAGCGCAAACAGCTCTGACCGCGCGAGCCACGGAGGCGAGCGTTTCCAGCCTGTGCCCGGGTCAAAGCAGCACCCTTCCCCAGCTCTGCCGGGGGCCCCCGACGGCGGCGGGGACACAGGGCCGACTCCCAGCCGCCCCTCTGTCGGGCCCTGGCGGTTGGTCGCCCGGCCCCCTGCTCTCCGCAGCGCCAAAAAAACTGCACGACATTGCTTACTTCTTTTCTTGCCTCTGTTACCTACAAAGCACTTGGAAAGGCCGTATCTGCGTTCCTTTTTATTTTTTTTTAAACCAGAAAAGAAAGCGAAGTGATACGGTACCTGGTTTGAGATTCTTCACTATTTGAGACTTGGGGGGAAAAAATATTTTTAATAGTGAAGCATCTGCTAAACACTTGCATTAACCTCTGGCTGATAAAAAAGTTTTTTTAACCTTGCCCCCCCTCGTTTTAATTATCTTATGATTATGAGGGTGCAGCCAATCCTGGAAGAGGACCTCAGCAATTAGCAACGTGAACATCAAAAAGTTTTATTGCGGAGAGCGAGAGGCGCCGCCCCCGCCGCCCCGGGATTGGCGTGAGGAGCCTCTGACGACATATATTAACCCGAGCGGCCCTAAAGATGTAGCTGTACATGGAGATCTTGCTGGGAAAATTTGCTTGCTCCCCTCACGGCATCCAGCCCAGGAGAACCGTCGCCGCCACCAGGAGCTCCCGCGGCCACACCACAGACCCCTCCGAGAGCCAGAGCCTCCGCCTTCCAGCTCCAAGGCGCCTGCAGGGCCCCAGATCCTTACCCTGAAAGGAGAGGATCTGAGAAAATGGATGCACGGAGACCTCTCTGAAAAGCCTCCGAGAGAGCCCTGGAGCAGTGAGGACACGTTACTCGCAGCTAAAATCACATTCAAGGACCAAAACAACAACAACCAAAAATTTCATTAAAACAATAAGCGCCCAAGAACCCAGATCAGGCTGGTTGGGGGAGGGGAAGAGGCGGGAAGGGGAGGGTCGCATGGAGGTAGCTTTGCAGTGAACAGTCGACCCCGCCGCCTCCCCGCAGAGCCGGGCTGGCTCCTCCAGCCAGGGCTCGGACTGGACCCCGGATTGCGTGTTAGCCTCGGTGCCAGGAGCGCGGCCCCGGCGTGGTGTCCCGCGACTCCGCGAAGCAGCCTCGAGGAAGCTCGGGCACCTTTGCATGAGCACGAGAGGATTCCGCCTGCGCGCAGCAGCCCGGGAAACAGGAGCCGGCGCGCGGGCCGTGGAGCAAGGCGGGAGCC